GGGGGGGGAGGGAGGATGGCTCAGTGCTTAGAACGCAAATTTACTGACCGGAAGGTCCGTCTTTCGAACTCGACCTTTGCCTCTCGAATTCCCCTGTCTAAGCTTGGGAAAACTGGCAGTATCTCAGCTCTCGTGCTTCCTTCTGATGGCATGGGAACTAAGCACTGAAAGGGTGAAAAAGATGGATAAACTTTCTTACACTTTTGCTCTGGACCCGTGTAGCGGGCAGCCCCTGAACACACATCTTTCATATGATTTCATTAGCTTATTACTTTGATGATGTTCAGCTTGCAAAATAGAACATTGTTCTTGGCTACCCCGAGGTTTTTTCAAACTTCGCAAGTGTTTTAGAATGTTCGTAAATATTTTGATCACTACCGATACTTTAGTAACTGTCAGTTGACGTGCTACTGAATTAAGGTTTGGACTGATAATAAAAGTTACGCGGTGGATGCTTTCAATATGTAAGTACTACCGAAAGCGCTCTAATCTTTGCTTGGGGTAATAACAAGTAACTTTTACCTATGTGCTTTAATTCCACTGCAACTGATGCCAGTATATCATAGTTGCAGCATTCAGGCGATTAAGCTCAATTTAATCATTTCAACATATTATCTAATATACTAAGTTGTGTTTTCAAAGTTTTCGGACGGTGGAACTAGACAGAAGATAATTACGTGAAGCATTGCACTGGACGATGAGAGGTACCTCGGAGCGTCGCTACGGATAAACTAGCTAGTGTCAGCTTAGCCTGCCATAGATTTACACTGTTGTGCTAACATTGGAGATTTTATTATGTCCCGTGGAGTCATTTAAAGTGGAATAACGCTCCTAACTGACCACAGCCGAGGAATGTAATGCCTCTAGTTTTGGCTTGCCAGCATTCATTCGCGAGATGCTTTTAGATGGTGAAGCGTTTGACTTGATTAAGTCGAATCTGCATTTTTCAATGTTTAATTACTCTAACTACTAAGACAAGAACTTTGATCATGTAATGCTACTTTGCTGGTGGCCAAAATTGTTCTGTAATAAAAACCTGTAAATCGTGCCTGTGTAGTGCGGAGCCACGTCAATGTGTATCCAAAATCGCCATCACTTGCGGAATATACTGGTCGTGTGACGCTTTGGGTGTTTGCAAGTCAAAGTTTGTTTCATACATAGGCTTCGACTCCAAAGAAATGAATAAAAAAGTAAATGAAATGCCCTTCTAATTTCAGCCTCGAAACTTTCTACAGAGACGCCGGGAACAGCTAGCTATATCTAGAAATTAATTGGGCATAAGAAGTCAGGGTTGACAAGAACTTTTGAAAGAACAGAAGTGTATTTGGATGATAAATTCGTTAACACAGCAACATTAACTTCGTCCTCATTATGAACAGTAGGAAAGTAAAAGCTTCAGAATTTCATCCTGATGAATGCGGTAAATACGCTGTATTGCCTATTGTTATCAGGTGACAGGTGATGTAAGTTTACCGGCTCACTTGGAACCTTTGTGACGTCTATGATACCAAGACGGTTACGTTACGGTACAAAATAGTTTATTTCAGTTGTTTAAACGAAAGGTAGCAATTCTTAGCATGCTATTAGTAAAATGTTCTAAATCCAACCGAACACTTGGATCGGCACGCTCCACCTCCAAGCTGAAAGACCACCCGAATGGAGTTATCTAATGGTTCCCAAGATCGCGTCCCGACATCCAAGGTGCCATGATCCTTCAGTTGCCCCCGGTTCTATTTGAAAACCCACCAAACATTCTTTTGGCATGCAGTTCGTTTCATTGAAATTTATTTCCTTACAGATGCTCAGTTTGTCGAGCTCGTGCGTTTTTCCAGCAACACTGTGACCATTAGGTTTTCATAAAATGTCACACGTTTAATTTGACACTGGCTAAAACACTTACGTCATATTTCGAGTTTATAAATGGAACAGTGATCAGCGTGTTTAAATTCTAAATTCAACGTTTTAAAGACTGATTGTTCAACCCGAGCCGTTTGATTATAATCATGCGGCATTATTCGGGTGGAATGACGCTTTTGCTATCGCACTACCGGAGCTTACAAGGTCTTTGCCGAAATTTCGGACACTTTCATCAATTTGTGGAGTTGCGTGAATTTCCTGCTAATGACAAGTACTCATCCAGTTGGATAACGTCAAATTGTGCGCTTCAGTTCTATCGCGGAAAACTAGTTTTCATTTTCGTTCATCCAAGATCTAGAGCTAACCAGACAGTTTTGAAGGTCTGGCATAGTTTTTTGCAGGATCCCTAGCATCTCGGCTCTTCAGCGCTGACAGTTTTAATTGAATGTGATTGTTAGTGAGGTTTTTTTTAACTAAGTGGTAAATATTCACATCATTGACCAGACGAAGTGGTCACTGGCGGTCGATAATTTTTATCAAAAGAGTTGGTGCGAAACAGTGAGAGTGTCCGTTCTTGGTTCACAGATAGGCCCTAAGGTTATACAATTAAAAGAAACTGTGTCTAACCAACAGATTTCTCCATATTTTCTATCCTGAGTGGCAGCGGGCCACGGCGTAGCCCAGTTCACAGTAGCAACATGTATTTCTAACCTGTAATAATGCCTGAGTGTCTGAATACCACTCTGAAAAGCCAGATTGCACAACTCAGCGTGTACAATTTGAGTTGTTTTTCACCCGGGGGAAGATGTTCGCCAGATATATAGTGAAAAACGTGTCCAAGAACTCTACTTAATACTGCAGATTCAGCTTTTTTAAAACTCTCATGGCACGCGGCTTATGCCCCTCGTAATAGGGATGGAATGAACTCCTAGTGCACGTTGGTTTTTCATCCAAGAAAATCCAGTCCTACCAAAAAACGAAAATTGCAACTCAACTCTCAGAATATCAAGTGACAGTAAGAAAATAGTATATGGCACGCTTGTAGCTTTGGTGATAGCATATATGGCAGCAAGTGACTCAGTGCTTTTGTTGGTTATCTACCTATTTCTCAAACGTCCTATGTTAAATTCCCTCAGTAGAAGAAAAGTAGTGTAAAATGATTGTTTGTTTGAAAGTGTATTTCAGGGGGGAATATCCTCAGGGCCTTCCAGAATTCGCTTCCGTAATGAAAGCATTCTCCTTTGGGACTATCGGATAAAACTGTTTCCATATAGCTCGAGGGCATAAATAGACTGGAGTTTCGACTGGCTTTCGATCCTTAGAATACGAGTATAACGATTATGAGTAGTCGGTTAGTAAAAATTATACTTCTCTTTTAACTTCAGTAGCTTTACTGTACGCATGACATCAAAGAGCACGCTACAACTACTGAAGCAACTTGGTCTGTTTTTGTAGTGTTGGCGTACTGAGGTACCGCTGGATTTTTGCCAAACCGGTAGGAGACCACAGTTCAGAGTCTTAGGGCCTTACATGACTATAGAAGGCCTATATTACTTTGAGACCCGTGGTCTTCAGTATTCACTTTCCCCTTTTGTAAAACTGAAAAACCTTCCAAAATGCCCTCGATTCAACTAAAAACAAGGAACACAGTGCAAAGAACAGGCAATCAGACTTCTCCGTCGGAAACACCTGATTTCTGGTCACATGGACTGGGCGTAATCGTGTACTTTGTTCGTGCAAACGCACTTCAACTTGACTCTAAGTGGGTATCAGAAGAAGTCTTACTGTCAAAAAAATTGCCGGAGTTTATACAGTTCCGTTTAAATGCTTGATGGTGTCGTGTTTGAGGGAACATCAGGCACAACATGAGCTTTTCTGTTCCAGGACTGTTTGCTGAATTTGTAAACCTGAACAGCTCTAACCAAAACCATGACTCTTCCGTGTTAATGATGCCTCCATAATTAGGACAAGATCAGAGCCGAATAAAGCGAGCGAGTTCCATATAACACATTACGTGTTCCATAATATGCCCATCGAACTGTGTCTTGATCAGCACATTTCATGAGTATTATCCGCAATTTGAACCCAAAATGTTAACGAGTTGTATTTCATGAATACTTTTCATCCCAGTGTAGATATCGCTATTGAGCGGGGTTCTCGTATTTGTGGTGCATACGAGCACGCTTGGGTGCTTGACATTGTCTTCATCAACCGACTACCGACACAGATATGTGTATCTTTTTACCACCCCCCGGAGATCCATACCACAGTATAACTGGAAGGGGTGATGTAGAACTCATTCCGCTGTGATTACGCAATCACTCATGAGGAAGATGGGTCAGATTTTCCTTCCATGGGATCCAGTCTCACACCTCCTTCTCTCAACGTAAAGGTTAACTGGTTCTACGTTAAACTGGCTGTACTACATGCTTTCGACACAATGACTGTGAAACCGCTTTTTGTAAATTGTGTCTGTGACAATGGAAAAATCAACTCAACTTCAGCGAATTCCCTCGTTTATTCCGTTCCTCACTTGCATAGAATTTGACGTTCAAGAGCACAACTATGTTGGACAAATCTCGGAGACTGCACCATCCTTGATCAGCTTTTAGAAAAGCGGAACCGTTTGGTGAGATTGTGTGAGGACTTTCACGGACCTTGTGAGTAGTGCCACAAAAACAGGAGTAGTTACGAGCCTCGTTTAGCAGTGTTGGCAAATACCCGGTAGGATTCTTTCAGGATCGGTTGCCTTGTAATTTTCCATGGATTCATGATCAAGGTGCTTTTCATTCAAAGCTTGTATGGAAACCAAGCAAAT